GTGGGTCTCGAACCTGCGGGCTCAGGCAGTCCACTCACCTCAGCCTCCCAAAGGCACGGGATTACAGGTTGAGCCACCGAGCCTGGCTAGGCAGTATCTTTTATTATTTAGAAGGTCCTTGTGACCTCAGAAGGTTGAGAAATGGTCATCAAAACTCATGACCGCTGAGCTAATTGGCTCAGCCTGTAATCTTGCACTTTGGGAGGCCGAGGTGAGTGAACTGCCTGAGTTGGTGGGTTTGAGACCCACCTGGGCAACTTGGCGAGACCTCATCTCTACAATAAATCAAAAATTAGCCAGTTGTGGTAACGCGTGCCTGTAGTTCCAGCTACTTGGAAGGCTGAGGTGGAAGGATCGCCAGAGCCCAGTAGGTTGAGGCTACGGTGGCTGGGAGTGTGCCACTGCACTCCAGTCTGGGTGACAGAGACTCCAACTCAAAAACAAAAACTCGTGACCAGATACCTGCAGCCCACCCTTCTTAGTTCATGGTTTGCTTAATTACCATGTAAAATCATATAAAGCATCTTGTCAAAGGCAAGCACATGTCCCTCTAATGGCACCCATGCCTTCCTTGAGTGTGACTTTCTGTCTAATAAAGTCTGTCTTAAACTACACTTGGGACTCGCTCTGAAATTCTTTGCTGTGGCCAAGTCAAAAGAACCCACGAAGCAACACACCGCACCCCACCTGGCATCAATGGCATGCACACATGGTGGGACATTAAAAAGGGACTGTGAGCCGGGCTCGGTGGCTTAGCCTGTAATCCCATGCCTTTGGGAGGCTGAGGTGGGTGGATTAACTGAGCCCGTGGGTTTGAGACCCGCCTGGGCAGGGGAGACCTCATCCCTACAATAAATCAAAAAATCAGCCGGGCGTGGTAGCGCGTGCCTGTAATTCCAGCTACTCGGAAGGCTGAGGCGGAAGGATCGCCGGAGCCCAGCAGGTCGAGGCTGTGGTGGCCGGGAGCGGCCACTGCACTCCAGTCTGGGTGACAGAGTGAGACTCCAACTCAAAAAAAAAAAAAAGGAACTGTGTGCACTTAGAAATGTATCAAAGATAAGGTGGAGGTATGGATGGGTGGATGGAGGGAAGGTCCAGTGAGCAGGAATGAGGTAAAGCAAGCCCAAGAGAATGCTAGTGGGAGAATCCACAGGGTGGGATTTCATGTGTTCACTGGAAAATTCTGATGACACTGCTGTATGTTTGACAATTTTCCTAATAAAATGTGGGGGGAAATGGGCTTGTGGATCAATGTCCTTCATTCACAAGATAGAGGAAAGGGTTCAAAATTGTATAGACGGCACAACTCCGGTACAGTTTAGAAATCTAGAGAAGGCCTGCTCGGCGGCGGCGGCGCTCGCTCCTGCCTCTCCGCCACTCCCACCACGGCCCAGCCGGCCGGCGGCGCTAGTGGGCAGGGGGGCGGCCGTGCGGACGCCGCCCCTGCCTCAGAGAAGGTACCACGTTGAATGAACAAAGACACCTTTTTACTGCTACTTTTTGTAAAATATCTATGGAGTAGTATTATAGTCTGAGTAACAAAGGATCTCATCATGAGATGAATGGGAGTGGACTATTGGATGAAAATAGATTTTGAAATCTCCGCATCATGGTTTTGAGCTCCCTGGTGACTGCGTAGTCTCACTGTGTGGGAAAAGTTCACGCTGAAAATCTGAAGCAATTAATGGGTGAATATGATCAGATTTCTCCAGCAAGTTCTCAGCCTAATAAGGAGAGTCCCTTTTTGTCAACCTAATGAAGCATTCGAAGAAGACGCATGACTCTTTTCAAGACGAGCTTGAGGATTACATTAAAGCTTAGAAAGCCAGAGGCTTAGAGCCAAAGACTTGTTTCAGAAAGATGAGAGAGGACTATTTGGAAACCTGTGGGTACAAAGAAGATGTTGATTCAAGACCCATACATAGAATGTTTGATCAAAGACGGCCACCCAAAGCCTACCCAAGATCATGCGGTATTTCACAAACAGCGGAAAACAGGTTACCTCAGTGGTTACCATCTCATGACAGCAGGCTGAGACTAGACTCTCTGAACTACCGTCAACCCACCAGGGACTGTTTCTCAGAAAAACCAGTTCCCCTGAACTTGAACCGGCAAGAGTATAGTTGCTCGTACAGTGTAGAAACTGGAGTTTCTAAGCACCTCTCCTCAGACAACAGTGCGACTAGCCATCAAGCCAGTCATCCGAGGAAGAGTCACCCAGAAGAGGGCCGAGGAAAACCAGGGGAGGAGCGACCCAAGCATAAGAGGCAGCGAGGGTGCGAGGGGACTGATATAGATGAACACACGAGCGTCCAGAGAAAGAGAACAGAGGTGGAGACAGAAACCGCACAGGTCGGAACAGAAAAGCCCAAGAGTCGGAAGGAGAAAAAAAGCCGAGAGGTTACCTCTAAGAAAGAGGAGCGTAAGCGAAGAAAAGAGAAGGAGCAAGGTAAAGAAAGGACCGAGGAGGAGATGCTTTGGGACCAGTCTATCCTTGGGTTTTGAAGCTTCCTCGCTGGTTCTTCCGAAGTTGAACTGAACATCAGTTGAGCAGCCTGGTGTTACGGTGTTTGTGTGTTTCTGGCGCTTTGCTCACGCAAACCAGGACTTTGGCTGCTAACACAGACCAAGTGAACAGAAAGTGTTGAGTATGTTTGCTCTCCCACACGGAAAGTACTTTTTCTCATTTTGTAAAAGCATTTTTACATTTTTCTTTCATATAATGTACTTTCCCTTAATGAAAGTGGCTCTGCTTTTTTTATTCACCAGATTGCTTTGATGGTGGAATTATTTTCCCCTGGGAGGGTACTTATTTGAAATTGGAGGAGTAACAGGCTTTGCAGAACCAGTTGCTTGATTGGGTTTGTTACAGTTTGGAGTTGGGTATTTTTATGTTCCTTGGTTTTCTCTCTGAAGCAATTTATTATTATTTTTCCTTTGTTAGACCTAACTCGCAGTGCATTTTCTAGGTTGGAAAGTGGAAAATACATTATAATAATAATAAACTTAGATACATATAGTTTTAAAAGTTTCAAAGACTCTTGATACAAAAATCAGTTTATATTCTGAAAATATTTATAATAAAGTGTTCTAATTTCTAAAAAAAAAAAGAAATCTAGAGAAAAAGACAGAGGGGTCTATAACCAAGAGCAGAAGAGGCTGTGTCTGGAGGTGGCTGGGTACACTTGCCCACAGGGGCCACTTTCTTCTCTGTATCATCTAAGTTTCCACGATGGTCACATGCTATTTTTGTAAAAAGAAAAAAGGCCCAATAAAATTATGCAAAATAATTAATCCCTTTTCCTTTTTCCTTTTTTTTTTTTTTGAGTTGGGGTCTCACTCTGTTGCCCAGGCTGGGGCGCAGTGGCACAATCATGGCTTACCACAGCTTCGACATCCTGGGCTCAGGTGATCCTTCCACCTCAGGCTCCCAAGTAGCTGGGACAAAAGGCACGCACCACTTTGCCCAGCAAATTTTTCTATTTTCCGTAGAGATGAGGCCTCACTATGTTGCCTGGTCTTGAACTCCTAGTTCAAGCAATCCTTCCTCCTTGGCTTCTAAAAGTGCTAGGATTAGAGGCATGAGCCACGGCGCCTGGCACCTTCCTCATCTGAGAAAATTTTCTTATCGCCCCGAGCCTCAACTTTCTCATCTAGGCCATGGACATAGTTCTCGCTCCGTCAGAGATGACAGAGTAGGGAACTGGAGGTGGCAGGAGACGTTACAGCCCAGAGGCTTAGAGGCTCAGCTTTGGAGCCAGACACAGATTCCAGAGCTGCTTCTCTCTCGTGGCTAATCTTTTTTTTATTTCCGTTGGCGTCTTACTCTGTCGCCCAGGCTAGCGTGCAGTGGTATGTCTCACAGCCCTCGCAGCCACGACCTGCTGGGCTCAGGCGATCCGCCTCCCTCAGACCCAGGAGTCCAGGACCTCAGCCCCTCCCCTCTCAGACTCAGAATTCCAGGTCCCAGCCCCGCCTCCCTCAGACCCAGGAGTCCAGATCTCAGCCTTTCAAGTAGCTCATCCTTGACCTGGGCATGGCCATGGTGCTGACTGTGCCTGGTATGGGCATCGCGTGGTCAGGGAGTGGCACGATCATGGCACACGGCAGGCTCGTCTTCAAGAGCAGGCTCAGAGCAAACCCAGAACAAAGCACCTTGGAAGCTACAAGGCAGAAACCCTACGGGGGCACCAAGTCGGCTTTCTTTTTTTCCTTTTCTGAACCTCACTCCTCCCTCCGACTCAGCAGTCCAGGCCTCAGCCCCTCCTCCCGCAGACTCAGGAATGCAGCTCCCAGCCCCTCCTCCCTTAGACTCAGGAACGCAGGTCCCAGCTCCTCCTCCATCAGACCCAGGAGTCCAAGCCTCAGCCCCAGGAGTCCAGTCTCCCAGTTCCCCCTCCCCAGTCCCAGGGGTCTGGGTCCACCCGGGACTCACGTGCTCCAGTCATAGCCCGTGGGCTCTGGGTTGCTGCGGACATTACAGGTCAAGGTGGCCTCACCACGGCCGAGGTACCAGTTGTCATCATAGCCGGAGATGGACACCTCAGGGGGGTCTAGGGAAAACAGACACATGCTCAGAGGTAGGAAGTCTTCAGAGGGACACAAATAGATATGTGGGGTTCATGTGGCATCGGGAAAAGGCCTCTGCGTGTGTGTGAACAGCTGGAGCTAGAGAGGCCTGGGCAGAGCCTGGGGCAATGGGCCTCCCTCCGAGAGCAGAGGCCTGGAGGTCCTTGGTCAGTGGGGGTACAGAAGGTGCTTCTGTATCTTATGGGGAAAGGCTTGGGTATCTTATGGGGAAAGGCTTCTTGGACCCACATAACACACAGGAGCACATTCAAGGCTCTGACAAGCCCTGCAGAAAAGAGTCCTGAACGATCTTGCTTTGGGCTGCTGCTTATCCTTCCAAACTGTGATGAACAGGGAGAGCTTTTCAGAGTCCTCAGGAAGAAGGCCGATGAGACAGGGTTTTTTTTGGGGGGTGGGGGGGGAGGGCGGAATTCAGTGTAGCTCTTCTCCCTCAGACCCAGAGACAATGCCGGAAGGGGCCCAGTATAGGCAGTGCCTGTGGGAAACAGTACCAGTTATCTAGGGGGGGTAGAAGCCAGTGTAAACAACTATGGGAAGGGATGGTAATGTCTAGAAGAGCTTGTGCAGACATTATTAATGGATTCAGTATAGACAGACATCACAGGTGCTATTGGGTTGGGGCAATGGTTGAAAACGTTGGGGGTGGGTGATATCAATGTGGAGTGTGTCCCAGGGAGCTGGAGAAGTTAAGACAGGCTTGGTGTGTGTAAATGGTACTTGGATGGGCTAGTGTAGACAATGTGGGAGCCCAGGGTAGATCTGTGCTGTCCAATATGGCAACCACCAGCCACAGGTGATTCCCAAGCACTTGAAATGTAGCTGGTCCAAAATACACACCAAGCCAGGCTCGGTGGCTCAGCCTGTAATCCCGCGCCTTTGGGAGGCTGAGGTAAGTGGATTGCCTGAGCCCGCAGGTTCGAGAGCCACCTGGGCAACTTGGCGAGACCTCATCTCTACAATAAATCAAAATGAGCCGGACATGGTAGCGCGCGCCTGTAGTTCCAGCTACTTGGAAGGCTGAGGCAGAAGGATCGCCAGAGCCCAGCTTGTCGAAGCTGCGGTGGCTGGGAGCGGCCACTGCACTCCAGTCTGGGCGACAGAGTGAGACTCCAATTCAAAAAAAAAAAAAAAAAAAAAAAAAAATACACACCAGAAGATTCCAGAAGTTTGCTATGGCAGGAAGAATGTGAAAGATCTTACGAACAATTCCAAAAAAGCTGATTGCATGTTGTGATATTTTGGGTCTACTGGGCTAAATAAAATCAACGATGAACAATAATTTCATCTCTTTCACATTTTTTAATGGGGTGGTTACTGGGAAGTTGAAACTCCCAGATATCCAGGGGTGGTGGCTCACATCTCTAATTCTAGCACTTTGGGAGGCCGAGGAGGGAGAATCTCTTGAGCCTAGGAGTTGAGACCAGCCTGGGCAATGTAGTGAGATGCCATCTCTACAAAAAAAAATTTAAAAATTAGCCAGGTGTGGAGGCGTGCACCTGTAGTCCCAGCAACTCGGGAGGCTGAGATGGAAGGATTGCCTGAGCCCAGGAGGTCAAGGCTGCATCGAGCTATGATTGCGCCAATGCACTCCAGCCTGGGAGACAGAGCGAGCTCTCATCTCAAAAAAAAAAAAAATCTCTCATATGTAGCCTGCATAATCCTTCTGTTGGGCCATGCAGGTTTGCAAGTCCCTGGGCTGCCAGTGTAGACAAATTTGTGGGTATCAGTGCCAACCACGTCTTGGGGGAGCTGGTGGAGGTGACATCACGTAGGAGAACCAGGACAGTGTCGGGGGCTGTGGAGACGACACGGGAAGCCAGTGTGGCGATGTGGAAGGCAGGTCGATGGTCAGCAGATGAGCCAGTGTAGATAATAGTGGGCAAAGGAAAGTGTAGACTACAGTGTGAGGACAAAGTAGACAATGCCCAGGAAGGCAGACACAGTCAGCACCTGGGGGGAGACAGTTGACCGTGGCTTGGGGGAACAGGTAGATACACATGGGGGTGAGCGCAAACACTTCTCCCGTGTAGACCATGGTGGGGGCACTTTAGAGAGTGTCTAGGAGAAGCAGTGTAGAAAAAGAAGGATGTTCATGTAGGCTATAGACAGTGGTCACTGAGGGACAACTCAGGGAAAGGGGACAACTTTCTACAGCCGGTGCCCTAAACAGCAGGTGTAGACAACGGGGAGAGCCCAGGAGAACCAGTGTAGACGATGGTAAGGAAGTGTTGAAAATAGACAGGGGTGGCCAGGCTCAGTGGCTCAGCCTGTAATCCCAGCACTTGGGAGGCTGAGGTGAGTGGATTGCTTGAGCCCGCGGGTTCAAGACCCGCCTGGGCAACTTGGCGAGACTTCATCTCTACAATAAATTAAAAAAAAATTACTCGGACGTGGTAGCGCGCGGCTGTAGTTCCAGCTACTAGGAAGACTGAGACGGAAGGATCGCCGGAGCCCAGCAGGTCGAGGCTGCGGTGGCCAGGAGCGTGCCACTGCCAAACAGCCTGGGCAACGGAGTGAGACTCCAACTCAAAAAAAAAGAAAAAAGAAAGGAAATGGACAGGGAAGAGGATGTAGACACAGTGACTGGGAGAACCAGTGTAGTAAAATGCAGGGAAGGTCAGTGTAGATGATTGCCCAGGGCAGGAGGTTTAGGCAATGTGTGGAGGACAGTGTAGACGGTGGGGGAGGGGCAGTATAGACAGTGGCTAGGGGAGCCAGGATAAACAACTTGGGTAGCAGCATTGACTGTGGCCTAAGTAGCCGGTGTAGACAATAAGGACAGTGTTGTATGTAGCCCGGGGAGTCAGTGTAGACAATGGGGTAGGGTGTATAGACAACAGTCAGGGAAGCAAGTGCAGATGATGAGGTGGGGGGGGTCAGTGTAGACAGCACGGGTGGGGAGACCCTGGCCACCCATTCAGGGACACTCACAGGACACGGCGAGAGTCACGGGCAGCAGGACGGGCTCCTTGAAGCTCTCGTGCTCCACTCTGCAGGTGACAATCTTGCCGTCTACCTCGCTCGAGGGCACCAAAGTCAAGAGGCTGATGACGGTGGCCGTGCCAGACAGGGACCCTGGCACGACAGTCGTCTGGCTTGTGTTGGCCATGGTGCCCGCGTGGGAGAGCCAGGTGATTCGGGCGGGCGGGTGCCCCTCGGTGGAGACGCAGCGGGCCACAGGCACGGGCTCCCCGGCGGCCGGGCTGAGCGGGACCGCCTGGGCCTCAGCCGTGTTCTGGGGCTGGGCTGGGGAGAGGAGCAAAGGGGACGGGTCACCCCTCGCCTGTGGCTAGGGGAGTGACCCCTCAGCAGCAGAAGAGGGGGAGTTCACTACGGGTTCAAACCCCAGCTCTGCCCCTGAGCAGCTGGGTGGCCTCGGGCAAGTCTGTGCCTCAGTTTCCTTGTCTGTCAACTGGGGATAATAACGGGCTCCCAGACAATGAGCACACACAGATGAAGCTCTCAGAACAATACTTGGCACATAATAAGTGCTCAATAAACATGATTTGGTCGCAGTGCTGGGGCCCAGCAATGACCGAGACAGCCCCAGCCCTGCCCTCCTGGGATTCACAGTCCAGGGGGACGGCAGACTCTTCCCCAAAGTGGGCAGGGCTGGGCTGGGGGGCCAAGAGGGCGCGCCTGGGCCTGGGGCTGGAAGTCTGGAAGGGCTTTGTGGGGGAGAGGAGGGCTGAGCCCTGGAGTTGAGAGGGGAGGTGACAAGCCCAAGGTCACATGGCTGTGAACAACAGAGCTAGACTTTGTGACTCCAAACTCACCTAGACCATCTCAGAATCATCATGCTGGGAATTCCCCAACCCGGGGCTTTACTTGGTTCCTTTGCCATCATTACCTGTGTTATAATCTGAAAATTTTTCCTCCATGTGACTGTTTCTGTTTTACTCTCATCCTAAACCATTATACTCAGAATCTCAGGCTCGTTAGATGTATCAGGAACAGTTCCAAGCCCTTGACATTTCAAGAGTTACTCATGCACAAGCCTGAAACAATTCCTGGCACACAAGCAAAAAAAAAAAAGTACACATCATTCTGGGTGATTACATGCCTGTAATTCCAGCTACTGGGGAGGAAGGGTGAGGCAGGAGGATGGCTTGAGGTCAGGAGTTTGAGAACAGCCTGGGCAACATAGTGAGAACCCATCTCTACCCAAAAAATAATTAAAAATTAGCCAGGCGTTGTGGTACTCAGATGTAGTCCTAGCTACCGGGGAGGCTGAGGCAGGAAGATCGCCTGAGCCCAGGAGTTGGAGTCTGCAGTGAGCTGTGATGGTACCACTGCATTCCAGGGTGGGTAACAGAGTGAGAGCCTATCTCTTAAGAAACAAACAGCCAGGCTCGGTGGCTCAGCCTGTAATCCCGTGCTTTTGGGAGGCTGAGATGAGTGGATTGCCTGAGCCCGCGGGTTCGAGACCCGCCTGGGCAACTTGGCGAGACCTCATCTCTACAATAAATCAAAAAATCAGCCGGGCATGGTAGCACATGCCTGTAATTCTGGCTATTCGGAAGGCTGAGGCGGAAGGATTGCTGGAGCCCAGCAGGTCGAGGCTGCAGTGGCCGGGAGTGGCCACTGCACTCCAGTCTGGCGACAGAGTGAGACTCCAACTCAAAAAAAAAAAAAAAGACTGGTCTTCAGGCTCTGAAATATTTCATCTGCTTGATCTTGTTCATTTTTAAAACTGTCAACTGTATTTTGACATATGTTTATTATATTTTTTATTTCCAGAAGTTTTTTTCTCTAATTATCTGTCTCATCTTTCATATCCTGAATAACTTTTCTGATTTCTTTGTGTTGGTTTTCAACATCCTCTTGGATCTCACTGAGCTTCCTACAATCTATATGTCAAAGTCTTTTTCTGTCATTTCAAAATTTTAATTTTTATTAGAATCCATTGCTAGAAAGTTCTTCTGATCCTTTGGAGGTATCAAAAAAACTCTCTTCTGGTACTGCCAGAATTCTTGTACTGATTCCTTCTCATCTGAAGAAACTGTCACTTGTTATTTTTAATTCGCTTTCATTTGGATGAAACATTTTTCTTCTCTCCCTTGAAGGTGTGATGCAGTATATGCTATGTACGACCATTTAGCCTCATCTCTGAGTGCTTTCAAGGGACCAAGGATCTGTATAGGATTTTTGACTATACACTGCTTTTGTGTGGTGGTTTTCTCAAATACTGCTTATTGCAGCAATGTATTGGTTGTATAGGCCAACTCACTGTCTTCTGCTGGGCTGGGAATATGGAGGACTGAGGAAGCTTATCTCTGTACCCCAGCACTATACCCTTCTGTCAGCAAGGATTTTTATTTGGTGGTTTTTAGACTCCATCCAGTAAGTGGTACTTAACAGTAAAGGCCAATTTGCCCTGAGTAACCCAATGCCAAGTGGAAGTGCCCACCCTGATACCTGTGGCAAGGAAGTTCGTCGATGGATGTGCTTAGGCCTTGGGTTTTGGATACAGAAGGAGCCTTCATCAGCTCCTTGTCCTGGGCAGGCAGGAATGATATCTCCTTCATGATCATGCTCCTGTCACAGGGTTCATGACCTTTAGCTCAGATATTTACTTTTCTTTATTTCTAGGTTGCAATGTGACTGAAGCCCATGGAAGACACCCATCTGGAAGCTGCCACTGAAGTGGTCCCAGAACCTCTTTTCCCAGCCTAAAGCAGAAAACTCAGTGGCTGGCCCAAACTTAGTTACAATGATATTATTGCTGTGTGTTGAGAGAGAAAAATGAACACTGTACTTTGTGGAAGCCAGTCAGCAGGCACACTTTCAATGAGGGTGCAGCTGTCATGAACGGTGCTGGAAAGACTGTCTGCTACTGCACTTCTTCTGCCCCCTACTCAGAGATATCTTGGATGCATCATCCTCAGTGGACAGGGAAAATGAGAGATGACCCCCTCTCCATGTCCATTTCCAGACACCAGTGCTGCCCGTCCATTGGGGCAGAACAATGCTCCTCCAATTTAGAGATTAGCACTGAATCAGCTTTTTATTGTCCCAAGGGGCACTTCTGCAGACTGTGCTCTCTCTTCCCCTTCAGGTGACCTGCACAAAAAGCTAGAACTCCAGGGATCCCCACAACTCTCCAGCATCCTGCCAATCCCCTGTGTTGCCAAGGTTCTAAGGTATGTTTGTAGGGGAGCTGGGGATGTGGCAACAGAAGGGGTGAGATTTCCCAGGCAGTGTAGTGGCCCACAATGCTTGGACAGCCAGTATGGTGGCCACCGCCTCAGTTCAGGTGTGAGAGGAGTAGAGTGCACATGCACAAAATGGCCATCCAGGGTTCTGCCCCCTGAAAGTTCCCATATTATCATGTCATTTTTCAGGCTTGTGAGAGCAGTGGGGCTCTCTGACAACTGAGAGGTCAGCAGGCTGTCTCAGGAATCAGGGGAGTAAGTAACTACTTCATCTACCTTTTCCATGAGACACCATGTTTTTTGGTGGTCAACCTCTGCCAGACTCTTTCTGCCTTCTTTTTCTGCACCCTGGCTTCCTTCCACAAACTTTCTGACAAGATTTGGCACTCTTCCCTCAACTTTCCTCTTGGGCAACAATCATTCACCTACTGTAACTTAGATCTTCTTTCTGAGGAGAACAGGCATCTGATGTCAGCCATCTTAAAAAAAAAAACACGTTGTGGTTTTGCAGAATCTTTTGTAATTGTTTCTTGTTATCAATGTGCAAGCATGAGAAACTTCTTTTTATGGCTTTCCTTAGCTCTTTTTTTTATCATGGTTGCTTTTAACAGCAGAGACTCCAATTTGATTCCAACAGCATTCCCAAAATGTTCGGTGATACGGGGGTTGGGAAGAAGCAAAAGATTGAGGAGGGAAGGTTGAGATACATCTGCAATGACCCTATTTCCAAATACAGTCACATGCTGCGGTACTAGGGAATAAGATTTTAACCTATAAATTTTGAGGGGACACAATTAATCCATATTAGAAGATCTATGTTGACATCATAAAAAAGACTTATTTTGAAATTACACTTGTGATTTATAAACAAAATGAGCAAGAAGATTAGAGAAAAAGGAGAAGGGAATGCCTTGTACTAAGGCCAATGTTGAGTCCCAAGTCGGATGTGGTGACATCAATTCATCGATTCCTTATGAAGTACCATATTTTTATAATCTGAAAATATTTACTTTTCTATCTCTGAGATAATGAGCCCAGGATAGAATATGTTAGAGAGATAGTGTGTCTGTACGTGTGTGTGTGTGTGTGTGTGTGTGTGTGTGTGTGTGTGTGTGTGTGTGTTTAGAGGGAGAAATTGAGAAAGAGAGAGAGAGAGACAGAGAAACTGTACATACAAATTTAGATATACCATCACTCAGCAGAGGAAAAGAAGCATCTTAATAATTTAAAAATTGTTACTTTTAAGGATAAAATAGTATAGGTAGTGGGTTATGAAAATAATTTACCTTTTTGGAAAATCAGATCCCACTCTGTTGCCCAGGCTACAGTGCAATGGCACAATCATGGCTCACCACAGCCTTAACCTCCTGGGCTCAGGTGATCCTTCTGTCTCAGTCTTCCGAGTAGCTGGGACTACAGGCATGCACCAAAACAACCAGCTAATTCTTTGATTTTCTTTGTAGAGTTGAGGTCTTGCTATGTTTCCCAGGTTGGTCTTGATCCTGGGCACAAGCAATCCTCTCGCCTCAGTCTCACAAAGTGCTGGGATTACAGATTTGAGCCACCGCACCTGGCCTGCCTTTTTTGTTTAAATATTTTATCATTAAATTTGTTCCTATGCATGTTATTTTATTTGACTAAGGCAGCTTATCACAAATTTAGCAACTTAACACAAGTGTTTAAAGTAACAAGTTTCATGTTGCATGTATTTTATATCAGTTAAAACATTATTTTAAAATATGACAAGCAGTCCAGGTTCAGTGACTCAGCCTGTAATCCCAGCACTTTGGGAGCCCGAGGTGAATGGATTGTCTGAGCCCATGGGTTTCAGACCAGCCTGGGTAACTTGGCAAGACCTCATCTCTACAATAAATAAAAAATTAGCCCGGTGTAGTAGCGCACTCCTGTAGTTCTGGCTACTTGGAAGGCTGAGGTTGAAGAATTGCCGGAGCCCAACACGTTGATACTGGGATAGATGTGAGCGTGCCACTGCATTCCAGCCTGGGCAACAGAGTGAGACTCCAACTAAAAAAAAAATATGACAAGCATAGAGAATGTTGGGCCATGAAGACCTGAGAGAGAGGAGGATAGGATGAGCAGAGTGGAACTCTGTATATGGAGAAGAGGAAGTGCCAAGACTTCTCACAGGCAGGGCAGCCAGGAGGAACTTAGGAGGAAAAATATTACTAGGAAGTAATTAAACCATTTACCATGGGGTATGTGGGCACTTCTCCTAGTGTTCTTAGAAAGGCTGCAGGAGACTTTTCTGTGAAAGTTCCTTTTGAGGGAGAGATACTTGACAGAGGAGCCAAGTTCTAAGTCTACATTGATGTAAGTGCGAGACAGATTTGGCATAGGCGATCCTGAGAGTGCCAAGCCCAGGAAATCACTAAAAATTGCTGAGTAGAGTTCAGAACTTCAAGGCTGTGGAATTGATAGGGTCAAAGTTGAGATCTTCAAGGGCTGAAATAACACACAGCCTATGTATCTAAGTTACATGCTGAAAAGGAATTGCTCAATAGCGTGTGGAGTGATGAGAGGGTGGAGGTGGAACCAGTACAGGTCCAGAGAAGAGAGGGAGGGTTATATTGGCGCAGGACTGATGCAGGAGTCTGTTAGGCAGGGTGGTGGAGAGACTGCTATGTGCCCATCTTTGTTTTTTGTCCTCCTTGACTCTGAATAATATTTGTGGCTGCTTCTTTTCTCTTTGATGCTGACATGGAGCT